AGATTTCTTTGGATTAAAACTAAAAAAAACATCAAACGTGTTACCAAAACGGTACTGTTTTTCTTAGTATTACTTTAGACTACGAGTAATAAAACATACTAAAAAAATTTAACTGAATTGATTAAAAAAATACAAATAAAAAAAAAGCACAATCGTTCCATTAGAAGACAGTGTCTGGATGGGGAATCACTTACCTGAGAGTTGATTTTGAAATTTCTTTTTCTCTGGATCTTCTCCTTCTCCATCACTTTCATTCCTATGGTTAAAAATACACATTTTTAACTAAAACTTTTATTCAGCAAGGTTGCATTCAATTGATCAAATGTGACAGTAAATGCATATATAACGTAACAAAATACTTATTTCAAATGATGGCTTTCTTTTAAAGTCAAAGAAACCTGAAATTAAATGTATGACTGAAACTGTTTTCAACATTGCTAACAATCAGAAATGTTTCTTGAGCAGTAAATCATCATATTAGAATGATTTCTGAAGGAAGACTGCAGTAATGATGCTGAAAAGGAAATATTTTAAATTGTAATATTCTTTCACAGTATTACTGTTTTACTGTAAAAATCTAACCAACCCTAAACTAATGATTGGTTATATAAATAGCACAACAGCAAAGGGGGAAGTTCACAGTCTCAGTTGCTAACACGTCTTTGCATAGACATGAGACATGCATATTCCTAACATGCTAGCAGTTAGGAATATGCATTTTCAAATAAGGGCTATCAGAATGATCAAGTCCTGTGTATTATTAGTGTCCATCAGAGCCAGGTTAGATTTATTTTTTAAGCAGTATTGTGTTCAAAAACAACTAGCAATTAATTCATTTTGATTCACAGAAATCAAGCACACGTTTCAACTGAATGTATGTGTATGTTTGTATTTATCCAACTAACTACTAATCACCAGCACCTACCCTTTGTCACTGGACTGAGACTCCTTCACTGGTTTCGCTGGGGCTTTCTCTTTCTTCTTCAAGTATTCTTTCAGCTTCTCAGCCCGGTCTAGATATTCGGCACATTTGGCCCGAATGCTTTGTTTGGCCTTATCACCCTGTGCTTCATCTTTACAAAAAAGACATAGTTAAATGTATAGAGGCGACTGAAAGCTGCCACTCTTGTGCCAAATGCTGCAGTGCCTTCTCATTAACATACTGATAAATTACCACTCTAATTAGAACATATGTAACGCTACAGCAATATATATATATAAACATTTAGCAAAACAATATTCAAAAACTTGCATTTTAAAAACTTAACCTCCTGAAATGATGACATTACTATTATGTATTATATTATTATTCTTATTATAGTTGTTGCTGTTATTATTATTTATTGTTAATATCTATTGTTTTTTTATATATTTTTTTTTAACTATGATTTTTCTTTTCTTTATTTTTAATTGTCCATGTAGCATACAGTATTACAATCCAAATATACAGTATATCAGTCGTCTGTCCTGGTACACAATAAGGACAGACAGGGGGTTGGTCTGAAAGCAATGAACTCCACTCCTGGCATTCCCAAAGGAAAGTGGACACATGCTTCAGGTCTCCAAAGCCCTAAACAATCTGTGGCCTAACAGGCTTTCTTAAAAGGCTTTGAGAGTCAAACAATGACATGTTGCAAGAGCGTGGCGAAGCATGAAGAACCTATGATGAATTAAAAGTTTGGCTGCCCGACACACTCATAGCTTTATATGTAGAAGCACCCTCTTAAACACAAATCCACTCCAGAGCTATTCATGCCCTGGTAGCTTCCTTTGATTAATAAGCTGTTGCCAGGGGCAATGCACTATTTTGGACTAGATTCTGCTTCAACTTGGTATCCCCAAAAAACTGAATCTCTGCGGTGCGTATAATATGACAGGAGCCCAAAATGTCAGCATCTCTCCACAGCTGCACTCTAGGGGTTGGGTTCTCTCGCCATGCCAAAGAGCAAGTGGACCTCACAACCAGCCCTCATCCGAGAGAGCAGGTGAGTTCAGTACCTTTAGCTGTTGTAATACACTCCTACAGGCCAGTGGATCTGGAACAAAACAAACCAGAAAGGGCAGCATTACTAAGCAAGTCTGCGTGCGTTTGTCAGCAAGATGAGGTCACTTTTATAATGTTGTATGCTAGTTTAATCTTCAGTTTGCATGTATAATATATGGTTTAGATTAAAAAATGAATCATTTATTGTTAACACTAACAGTCTACTTTCAGGCTATGCTGTGTTTAAAGGCCATGTACCTGAGTGCTAATGTTCATTATACAAACCCTGAAATATTTGAGAATAAAAACAGTTTAAGTGACAGTAATCAGCATCAGAAACAGTACAAATATGACTTCCAGATTACAGATAATTTTAAAGGAAGAATACTACAGAACAGAACAGATCTGCGCTCTCTATCACCATCTGTGGTTAAAACATAAAATTGCAAGTTACTAGTGGAGGAGCAAGCCTTGCTTGCACATGTGATGATATCGAAACAGATCTGACCGGCTACACCAAGGTCACTGAAGAAAGTGGAATTAAGAAGAAAGTCCTACAAGACCCATATCCAAAGTAGGTAGCACATCTGCTGTTATAATAGTTGGACCATCTTTTCTTAGTGAACTAGAAGCTGTAGTATTTTTTTTTCTGGTTGATGTCCAATAAGGGAGTTTTATCTTGGCATCATAAAACTTACAATAAACCTACATCATAAACCCAGTTTGTCACTGGGCCAGTACCCTCAAAGAGACAACTTTGTACCTTCTTTACCCCAAGGTTTATAATAGTACCATAATATCACTACTCTCAGGTATTAATATGCAGCATTTAGGGGTAAAGAATGTGGGTACAGCCCCAGTGATAAGCTGTTTTTCCCTATATGAGCAATTTTTGCCCTTTTTTTTTTTTTTTTGCTGACAGTGTATGCATATTTTTTGTTTTCCAATAAATTGGAATCTAAAATTAAGCTCCATTATTAAAAATCCTACTACAAAAATTCCAGCTGCATCCTGCACAAATTTATTTGGAATTGCTTAAAAATATGGGTCAAAACTACCCAAGGCTATTAGTGGACTGAACTGTGGTCAGATGATGTGTTCCTGTTTGTTGGTCTGTTAGTCAGAAGATGTGCAGTGAAGTGTAGACACAGGTAAACATGGATCCTTTCTCTCTCACTCACTCTCTTTACTGTATCTCAGAAGTCAACAAAGCATTATTATTGGCATGACTGTCAGCATTTACAACAAGTATACTGTACATGCTGCCTTACAAAAGTTTGGGGTTGTTTTTGAATGAAGCCTTATTCTCACAAAGGCTGCATTTACTTGATCAGAAATACAATAAAAATAGTAATATTGTGAAATGTTATTAAATTTTAAATGAACTGTTTTCTATGTTAATATATTTTAGAATGTATTCCTGTGATGCAAAGAATTTTCTATTTTCAGCATCATTACTTCAGTCTTCAATTTCACATGATCCTTCAGAAGCCATTCTAATATGTTTATTTGCTTATGAAACATATCTGCTTAATATTTTTTGTGGAAAGTATCTTTCATATTTTTTAAAAAATCTTACTGACCTCAAACTTTTGAAAGGTACGTGTATGTATTTATATATTGGCAATATGCTGGTGAGTAATTAAATAAATATTGTACAGTATGTGCAGGGGAAATATGAAGTGTCCCCTTCTCTCTGTTCAGTCCTATTGTATTTTTCTGTTCTTTCTCTTTCCCCTCTTCTCTCTGTTCAGTCCTATTGTAGTTTTCTGTTCTTTCTCTTTCCCCTCTTCTTTGCTTTTCTCTCTCTCTCTCTCTCTCTCTCTCTCTCTCTCTCTCTGCTGATCTTAAAAGTAGAACAGCCCCTTCCTATCACTTCTCCTAAAAAAGAAAGCAGACGTGCTTCTGTAACTCTGATGGAGGAGGCTTGGAGACAATGTATGATGGGCCACGTTTTCTCTGACC